ACTTTTTACAAAATTTCGCAAATTACCAATCAAAACACACCGTAATTAACGATACACAATCTAACAACATTTTAAAGACACTTAATTACGACTGTTGACCCCTCATTACACAAATCTCTACCACGCTTTTTAATTTGGTCAGGGTTTACCGATTTGTCAATTATTATTTACTCAAGTCGTACAATAACGACCCGCAAAAAACCGACACTTACTACATCGTGTGTGCGAAAACAGAAAGATCATCAGAGAAAGGCTGACATTTAGCGAAATGCCGACACAATTTTGCTCATTGTATCCATTTTTCTCACTTCCTAGTCACACTGTAATGAGATGCATTTCCTCTGCTGCCATTAACCTTTTTAACGTAGCTCCATTTTTCCGAATCGCAAGTTCAGTGTCAAATTATTTATCTATTTACATTTGAATTGACCGTAAAATTGGCGTGGTTTAATGAGTGGATTTCATACTTGCCGGTGAATTAGTTTATAAAAGTCGGAATCGTGAGTTGCGATATCCATTGTTCTGGTGTCATCTCTGGGAAATCATTTGTTGGCTGGATAGCATTTAGGTGGCTTGGAATTGCATCAGAAATATTTATGAGCGGATGGTTGGGTAAAACAAAAGGGTTTGCGTAAGTTTGATTAAAAAGATTTACTTGAGGTTTGAGGTGTTGTTCTTATCAAGTTATATAATAAGAGATTTATTCAGTGAAAGCGGTAATTAAGTTATTTATCATTGAATATTGATGGTGATGATGATGAAGTATTTGCATTTATTTAACCTTTGAAAAGGTTCTTCTCTAGAAAAAAAAGACGGATGGCCTTCAACCGGAAATTCCAATTATGGATGTTGCTGTGTATTATGTAGTTTTATATCATTTTAGTCCATTACCATGGTCAAGTCCAACAGTTAAATTGCACTTAGGTCGGTACAAGGGTTATCAATCATCTAATGTAAGTGGTTATTTTACATAATTTGGTGTAGAACACAAGTTTATAAGATGTTCATCATTTCGGACAAGTTTTATAAATGTATGTAAATATTTAACTCGTTAAATACAGCCCTGACATTTATGCAAATTTCAGAAAGCCACGCGTCTTCTGTCAGGTTGACGAGGATCTTTACACGGAGGTTATTCGAGCATTTTTGGCCTAGATACACACAAGACATACGATTTTTTTCAGTTGTTCAATTTTTTATTTTTAATGCTTTATTCAGTTTTTAGATTTCGCAGTTTTTCGATGTGTTTCTCGAGTTTTTAATTTTTCAATTATTCAATTTTTCAATGTTTAAATTTTATAAGGTTTTTGTTTTTTCAATTTCAATTTTGATTTTTTTGTCCAATTTTGCGATATGTAATAACTCTTCGAGTTCTCGTTTTTAAATTTTACAGTTTTTCGAATTACAATTTCAGGAGTTTAATTTTTTTTTATTTTTCAGTCTTTCATTTGTTCACTTTTTCTACTTGTAACTTTTCAGTTCCGTTTTTTGTTTTCTTTATCTTTTTCATAGTGAAATTTTTCAAATTTCAATTTTTGATTTGCGATTTTTTTCATTATTATTTTAATATGTAATTATAAGTATAAAAAAATAATCACTTTTTCAATTTTACGATTTTCGACTTCACATTACATACATCGGAAAATCACTGTAAGTCCAAGCAAAAAATAAAGGTTAAATTTTTCAATTTTTCAATTTTTAAATTTTGCAACTTTTCGATTTGAGTTTCTCGACTTTTCATCTTTTAATTTCATTAATTAATTTTCGTTTCTTTAATTTTTCACTTCAAGTTTGCGATTTGTAGTTTCGATTGCGGTTTTTCAATTTTTCATTTTTTTATTTCTTCAATCTTTCGATTTTGCAATTCTTAGATTTAAAATTTCTCGAGTTTTTAATTTTTTGATTCTTTAATTATTCGCTTCTTCAAGTTTTCAATTTGCAATTTTTTGTTTCTTCAATTTTAATCTTTCTCAATTTTTCATTTCTTCAATTTTTCGATTTGCGATTTTTCAATTTTTCATTTTTTTTATTTCTTCCCTATTCAGATTTTTTCGATTTAAAATTTCTCGAGTTTTCATTTTACGATTTTTCAATTTCAATTGTTACAATTTTTTTTTTTCAATTTTACAATATGTAACTGCGAGTTTTCATTTTAAAATTTTTCAGTTTTTCGATTTTCCAATGAAATTTTCCAATTTTTCGACTCTTAGTATCTCAATGTTTCAATTTTTTCAGTTCGATTTCTCCAATCAAACAATTTTAAAATTGGAATAAAAATCAAAGGTTGGAATTCTGAAAAATTGAGGAAACCAAAAATTGAAAAATCGAGAAATTATAAATTGAGAAACTGAAAAAACGAAAAATTATAAAATGAAAACATTGAAAATCTGAATATGGAAAATCAAGAAGTTGAAAAATTAAAAAAACGACAAATTCAAAAATTGAAAAACTAAAAACTGAGCAACTTAAAAATCGAAAAAGTGGAAAATCGAAAAAATGAAATATTGAAAATTAAAGAGATCGGAAAATCATATAACTGGAATTCCAGACAAAAAATGAAGGAAATGAAAACACGAAAAATTGTGATATAAAATTGAGAAAATGAAAATTAGAAGTTTTTCAGCTTTTCAATTTTCCAACTTTTGAACTTTTCAATTTTTAAAATATGCAATTTTTCGATTTGAGTTTCTCAAGTTTTCAACTTTTAGTTTTAATTTAATTAATGAATTTTCGATTCTTTAATTTTTCACTTATTCAAGTTTTCGATTGCAATTTTTCGTTTCAGTTTTTTTATTTTCTTTATTTTTTCAGTTTTTCGGTTTTTCGATGTTGTCAGTGTGGAATTTTTCAATTTTTCGATTTACAATTTTTCTATTTTAGTTTTTTTAATTTTTCATTTCTTAAGTTTTTGATTACAATTTTTCTGGTTTTCTTTAAGATGAAATGTAATAGTAATTATGATTTAAAGATTTCAATTTTACGATTTTAGAAGTTTACTCTTTTTCGATTTTTTATATTTGAGTTTCTCGATAGTTAATTTTTCATTTTTTGATCATTTTTGACGATACTATAATTTTTCGATTCATTAATTTTTTCCAGTTTTTAAGTTTCCCGATTTTTACTTTTTCAATGTTTCAATTTTACTTTTCTTCAGTTCTTCGATTTGCAATTTTTCGTTTTTTCAGTTTTTCAATTTTTCAACTTTTGGAATCAAAATCGAAAAATTGCAAAATTGCAAAATCAAAAAATCGAAAAACCGAAATATTGAAAATTTAAGAATTTCAAAATTGAGGAAACCAAAAATTGAAACATTGCAAATCAAGAAAATGAAAAAGTTGGACTTGAAAAAACTAAAAATTATGAAATCGAAACATTGAAAAAAGAAAAATTTTAAGAATGAACGAAAATGAAAAAAACGAAAAATTTTGCGAATTTTATTTTCTTATGATAACCTTTAGTTAAAGTTAAAATAAAGATATCAACGATTTACCATAATTACGATAACCTTAAAAAATTCACAAGATTTCCGAGCCTTCGGTTCTGCAATTTCAAAATTAAATTGCAAAACGTTATATAATTTTGATTTTTTTTTTATCGAGTTGTATAGGGGAAACCTCAACACGGATATGAATTAAACTCAGTTTTTCGATTTTTGAACTTTTGAAATCAAAAAATGGAAAAATTGCAAAATCAAAAATGTTGAAATATCTAAAAATTGTAAATCAAGAACTTGAAATATTGAAGAAACGAAAAGTTCAAAAATCGAAAGATTAAAATTTGGAAAACTTAAAAATCGAAATTTTGAAAATTAAGAATTCAGAAAATGGAGGAATTGAAAAATCGAAGATTGAAAAATTGAAAGAACGAAAAATTATAAAATCGAGAAGATGAAAAATAAAAACTAAGAACGTGAAAGATTGAGGAAACCAAAAATTAAATGAGAAACAGAAAAATCGAAAATGGAAAATTGCAAATCCAAAAAATGAAGAAACAAAAAAAAATTAAAAATTGAGCAATAGAGTTGAAAAAACGAAAAATTATGAAATCGAAACATTGAAAAATGGAAAAAATGAAGAAAAGTTTGCAAAATTTCCGAGCATTCGAAAACGTTATACAATTTTGATTTAGATTTTTTTTTTTTCCAAAAATCGAGTTGTATAGGGGAAACCTCAACACGGATATGAAATAAACTCAGTTTTTCGATTTTTGAACTTTTGAAATCAAAAAATGGAAAAATTGCAAAATCAAAAATGTTGAAATATCTAAAAATTGTAAATCAAGAATTTGAAATATTGAAAAAACGAAAAGTTCGAAAATCGAAAGATTAAAATTTGAAAAACTTAAAAATCGAAGATTGAAAAATTGAATGAACCAAAAATTATAAATCGAGAAGATGAAAAGTAAAAACTAAGAACTTGAAAGATTGAGGAAACCAAAAATTAAATGAGAAACAGAAAAATCGAAAATGGAAAATTGCAAATCCAAAAAATGAAGAAACAAAAAAATTAAAAATTGAAAAATTAGAGTTGAAAAAACGAATAATTAATTATGAAACCGAAACATTGAAAAATGGAAAAAATTAAGAAAAGCTTGCAAGATTTCCGAGCATTCGAAAACGTTATACAATTTTGATTTTTTTTTCAAAAATCGAGTTGTATAGGGGAAACCTCAACACGGATATGAATTAACCTTTGAAGTAAAACTTCACAACACACTGTTTTAAACCCCATTATTACGCAGCCCAGATTACCTTGAAACCTATTTCTAAAGTTTGCAATGATGCAATCCATGCATCTTTAAACATTAGAATGCAAGTAAAATTTTTGCGATATTTCCTATGCATCATTGCGCACTTTTCTCATTGTCGCGTCACGTTTGCGTCCGTTTTCACCCCGCATTTCCGATAAAAACACTCTTACATAAGAAGGACGAATCGATTTCGTTCACTTTGTGCAATTGCACTTTTTTGCCAATAATCCGACTCATTGCACTTGTTCCAGGTGAACAAAATGGACGTTTCCGTGTTGATCCAATCGATTTTGCTGATTTTTTGCGCCGGGAGGGTTCACAGCGAAGTGTTCACGGCACTCGCCGACCTGGAGGAGCTTCTCCAAACCGAGTCCTCCTTGATCTACACCCTGGAGAATTACATCCGGGCCGAGGAGGAGAAGCTGGACTATCTGAAAAGGTACCTTCGAACCCGTCAAACTAACCATCAACTTAACTATCGTCTTTCAGATACGCCCATATTTACAAGAGCCAGTACGAAAAGGCAGCCGAAGACGTCCAAGTGTACGTCGCGAACCCCATTAACGCCTACACCTTAGTGAAGAGACTCACCGCTGATTGGAAGGAAGTCGAGAATCTCATAACCATGGATCTGAGTCCGGACTATATGGAAAATATCACCTACATTAAGGAAAATATGAAGTTTCCGACAGACGAAGATCTGAATGGTGCCGCTGTTGCCTTAACCCGACTCCAAGACACCTATCGGTTGGAGACTTCGTCTCTAGCTAGAGGGGAGTTGAACGGGATCAAGTACAGCTCTGAATTGAGTGCCGCTGATTGCTTTGAACTAGGACGGCAGTCCTACAATAATGAAGACTATTATCACACTCAGTTGTGGATGCGGGAGGCGGACTCGAGACTCAACCGGGAAGCGAACGAAACGGTGGGCAGGAGCGACATTCTGGAATATTTAGCCTTCTCGACTTACAAACAAGGTATGAACTAAGTATTTTCGTATTTAATATGAAGAGGGGATTTTAGACTGCTATATCCATGGACTGACGTAAGGTCAGCCCAATGGTCACTAATCTAGCCATACTTGTTTTTGAGATTTTTAACACTTTTGACTTTTTTGATTTTTTTTGTCGATTTTAGGAATGTAGACGACCTGGTATTTTTGACAATTTTCAAATATTTGATATATTTAACATATCTGCCATTTTGACGTATCATTATTGGCGATTTTTTTAAAGAATGTTTGACACTTGTAATCTTCAATTTTGACATTCTTACACGTTCTTCATATTCTTTACGTTTATGTAATATTTTTGACATTTTGCCATTTTTTAAATATACACATCCATCTTTTCACAAAAAGAAACTTAAAACACGTTGAGTGTTGTGTTGTGAAAAGATGACTACCTATATTAAGACGAAAAAAGCAAAATATAAGCCCCGCCCACCCACCCTATCTCGATTGTGACGATCTTTTTTATTCGTTGTGAGTCAAGAGGGCGGAGCTTATCTGCAAAATCCTTATTTCTCTACCAGAAATTACCACGTAAGATATGTTTTTGAGTATCGTATTCAAAGAATACTATGTATATTAAGTAACAATTAAAGCCAGGTTGAAATCGAAACGAATGGGTGGGGCTTATGTTTTTTGTTTTCTTTGGTACGGAATACATGTTTCACATAGCGATTTCTTGTCGAAAAATAAGGATTTTGCAAATAAGCTCCGCCCACGGCATACGACGAATTAAGAAAATCATCACGATTAAGATAGGGCGGGTGGGCGGGGCTTATATTTTGCCTCTTTTTCTTAATATACGTACTCATATTTTCACAACAAGAAACTTAAAACATGTTTAAAATGGTAAATTTTGTAGGAGAATATGAATTTTGCAATTACGCCCCGCCCCACGGCTCATGACAGATAAAAAAAATCATCACAATGGAGATAGGGCGGGTGGGCGGGGCTTATATTTTGCCTTTTTTTTAGTATACACAGCCATCTTTTCACGAAAAGAAACTTAAAACATGTTAAGTGCTGTGTTGTGAAAAGATGGCTACCTATATTAAGAAGAAAAAGGCAAAATATAAGCCCCGCCCACCCACCCTGTCTCAATTGTGATGATCTTTTTTATTCGTTGTGAGCCAAGAGGGCGGAGCTTTACTGCAAAATCCTTATTTCTCTGCAAGAAATTACCGCGTAAGATACGTTTTTGAGCATCATGTTCAAAGAATATTATGTATATTAAGTAAAAATTAAAGCCAGGTTGAGATCGAGACGAATGGGTGGGGCTTATGTTTTCGATTTCTTTGGTACTTAATTTTCATATAGCAATTTCTTGTCGAAAAATAAGGATTTTGCAAAAAGCTTCGCCCCACGGCATACGACGAATAAAAAAATCATCACAATTGAGATAGGGCGGGTGGGCGGGGCTTATATTTTGCCCCTTTTTCTTAATATAGTCATCTTTTCACAACAAGAAACTTAAAACGTGTTTAAAATGGTAAATTTTTGTAGGAGAATATGGATCTTGCAACTACGCTCCGCCCCACGGCTTCCGACGGATAAACAAATCATCACAATTGCGATAGGGCGGGTGGGCGGGGCTTATATTTTGCCTGTTTTTCTTAATATACGTTGTCATCTTTTCACAACAAGAAACTTAGAACATATTGTGTTGTGTTATGAAAAGATGAGTACGTATGTTAAGAAGAAAAAGGCAAAATATAAGCCCCGCCCTCCCGCCCTATCTCAATTGTGATGATCTTTTTTATTCGTTGTGAGTCAAGAGGGCGGAGCTTAACTGCAAAATCCTTATTTCTATACAAAAAATTACCACCTAAGATATGTTTTTGAGTATCATGTTGTTCAAAGAATACTATTTATATGAAGTAAAAATTAACGTCAGGTTGAGATCGAGACGAATGGGTGGAGCTTATGTTTTTGGGTTTCTTTGGTACTTAATACATGTTTCGCATAGCAATTTCTTGTCGAAAAATAAGGATTTTGCAAATAAGCTCCGCCCCACGACGTACGACGAGTTGAAAAAAATCATCACGATTAAGATCGAGCGGGTGGGCGGAGCTTATATTTTGTCTCTTTTTCTTAACATACGTAGTCATCTTTTCAAAACAAGAAACTTATAACATGTTTAAAATGGTAATTTTTTGTAGGAAAATAAGGATTTTGCAGTTAAGCTCCGCCCTCCTGGCCCATAACGAATAAAAAAAATCATCACAATTGCGATAGGGCCGGTGGGCGGGGTTTTTATTTTGCTTTTTTTTTTCTTAAAATACGTAGTCATCTTTTCACAACAAGAAACTTAAAACATGTTGTGTTGTGAAAAGATGACTACCTATATTACGAAGAAAAAGGGCGGAGCTTAACTGCAAAATCTTTATTTCTGTGCAAGAGATTACCGCGTAAGATATGTTTTTGAGTATCATATTGTTCAAAGAATCCTATGTATATTAAGTAAAAATTAAATTCAGGTTGAAATCGAGACGAATGGGTGGAGGTTATGTTTTCGCTTTCTTTGGTACTTAATACATGTGTCACATAGCAATTTCTTGTCGAAAAATGAGGATTTTCCAAATAAGCTCCGCCCACGGCTTACGACGTATAAAAAAGATCATCACAATTGCGGTAGGGCGGGTGGGTGGGTCTTATATTTTACCTTTTTTTCTTAATATACGTAGTCATCTTTTCACAACAAGAAACTTAGAACATGTTTTGTGTTGTGTTGTGAAAAGATGACTACCTATATTAAGAAGAAAAAGACAAAATATAAGCCCCGCCCACCCGCCCTGTCTCAATTGTGATGATCTTTTTAATTCGTTGTGAGTCAAGAGGGCGGAGCTTAACTGCAAAATCCTTATTTCTGTACAATAAATTACCACGTAAGATATGTTTTTGAGTATGATGTTGTTCAAAGAATACTATGTAGATTAAGTAAAAATTAAAGTCAAGTTGAAATCGAGACGAATGGGTGGGGTTTGTATTTCCGCTTTCTTTGGTACTTAAAACATCTTTCACATAGCAATTTCTTTTCGAAAAATAAGGATTTTGCAAATAAGCTCCGCCCCACGGCATAAGACGAGTTAAAAAAAATCACCACGATTAGAATCGGGCGAGTGGGCGGGGCTTATAATTTGCCTTTTTTTCTTAATATACGTAGACATATTTTCACAAAAAGAAACTTAAAACATGTTGCGTGTTGTGTTGTGAAAAGATGTCTACGTATATTAAGAAGAAAAAAGCAAAATATAAGCCCCGCCCACCCGCCCTATCTCAATCGTGATGATCATTTTTATTCGTTGTGAGTCAAGAGGGCGTAGCTTAACTGCAAAATCCTTATTTCTCTACAAGAAATTGCCGTGTAAGATATGTTTTTGAGTATCATGTTGTTCACACAACACTATGTATATTAAGTATAAATTAAAGCCAGGTTGAAATGGAGGCGAATGGGTGGGGCTTATGTTTTCGCTTTCTTTGATACGGAATACATGTTTCACATAGCAATTTCTTGTCGAAAAATAAGGATTTTGCAAATAAGCTCCGCCCCACGGCATACGACGAGTAAAAAGAATCATCACGATTAAGATCGGGCGGGTGGGCGGGGTTTAAATTTTGCCCCTTTTTCTTAATATAGTCATCTTTTCAAAACAAGAAACTTAAAACATGTTGTGTGTTGTGTTGTGAAAAGATGACTACCTATATTAAGAAGAAAAATGCAAAATATAAGCCCCGCCCACCCACCCTATCTCAATTGTGATGATCATTTTAGTTCGTTGTTAGTCAAGAGGGCGGAGCGTAACTGCAAAATCCTTATTTCTCTACAAGAAATTACCACGTAAGATATGTTTTTGAGGATCGTGTTTTTCAAAGGATACCTTGTATATTAAAAAAAGTTAAAGCCAAGTTGAGATCGAGACGAATGGGTGGGGCTTATGTTTCTTTGGTACTTAATACATGTTTCACATAGCAATGTCTTGTCGAAAAATAAGGATTTTGCAATTAAGCTCCGCCCCACAGCTTACGACGAATAAAAAAAATCATCACGATTAAGATCGGGCGGGTGGGCGGGGCTTATATTTTGCCTCTTTTTCTTAATATACCTAGTCATCTTTTCACAACAAGAAATTTAAAATATGTTTAAAATAATAAATTTTCGTAGGAGAATATGGATTTTGCAATTGCACCCCGCCCCACGGCTTACGACGAATGAAAAAAATCATCAGAATTGCGATAGGGCGGGTGGGCGGGGCTTATATTTTTTCTTTTTTTCTTAATATACGTGGTCATCTTTTCACAACAAGAAACTTAAAACATGTTGTGTGTTGTGTTGTGAAAAGATGACTACCTATATTAAGAACAAAATGGCAAAATATAAGCCCCGCCCACCCGCCCTATCTCAATTGTGATGAACTTTTTTATTCGTTGTGTGTCAAGAGGGAGGAGCTTAACTGCAAAATTCTTATTTCTCTACAAGAAATTGCCGTGTAAGATATGTTTTTGAGTATCATGTTGTTCAAACAATACTATGTATATTAAGTATAAATTAAAGCCAGGTTGAAATGGAGGCGAATGGGTGGGGCTTATGTTTTCGCTTTCTTTGGTACTTAATACATGCTTCACATAGCAATTTCTTGTCGAAAAATAAGGATTTTGCAAATAAGCTCCGCCCCACGGCATAAGACGAGTTAAAAAAAATCACCACGATTAGAATCGGGCGAGTGGGCGGGGCTTATAATTTGCCTTTTTTTCTTAATATACGTAGACATCTTTTCACAAAAAGAAACTTAAAACATGTTGCGTGTTGCGTTGTGAAAAGATGTCTACGTATATTAAGAAGAAAAAAGCAAAATATAAGCCCCGCCCACCCGCCCTATCTCGATCGTGATGATCATTTTTATTCGTTGTGAGTCAAGAGGGCGTAGGTTAACTGCAAAATCCTTATTTCTCTACAAGAAATTGCCGTGTAAGATATGTTTTTGAGTATCATGTTGTTCACACAACACTATGTATATTAAGTATAAATTGAAGCCAGGTTGAAATGGAGGCGAATGGGTGGGGTTTATGTTTTCGCTTTCTTTGATACGGAATACATGTTTCACATAGCAATTTCTTGTCGAAAAATAAGGATTTTGCAAATAAGCTCCGCCCCACGGCATACGACGAGTAAAAAGAATCATCACGATTAAGATCGGGCGGATGGGCGGGGTTTAAATTTTGCCCCTTTTTCTTAATATAGTCATATTTTCAAAACAAGAAACTTAAAACATGTTGTGTGTTGTGTTGTGAAAAGATGACTACCTATATTAAGAAGAAAAATGCAAAATATAAGCCCCGCCCACCCACCCTATCTCAATTGTGATGATCATTTTAATTCGTTGTGAGTCAAGAGGGCGGAGCGTAACTGCAAAATCCTTATTTCTCTACAAGAAATTACCACGTAAGATATGTTTTTGAGGATCGTGTTTTTCAAAGGATACCTTGTATATTAAAAAAAGTTAAAGCCAAGTTGAGATCGAGACGAATGGGTGGGGCTTATGTTTCTTTGGTACTTAATACATGTTTCACATAGCAATTTCTTGTCGAAAAATAAGGATTTTGCAATTAAGCTCCGCCCCACAGATTACGACGAATAAAAAAAATCATCACGATTAAGATCGGGCGGGTGGGCGGGGCTTATATTTTGCCTCTTTTTCTTAATATACCTAGTCATCTTTTCACAACAAGAAACTTAAAATATGTTTAAAATAGTAAATTTTCGTAGGAGAATATGGATTTTGTAATTGCACCCCGCCCCACGGCTTACGACGAATGAAAAAAATCATCAGAATTGCGATAGGGCGGGTGGGCGGGGCTTATATTTTTTCTTTTTTTCTTAATATACGTAGTCATCTTTTCACAACAAGAAACTTAAAACGTGTTGTGTGTTGTGTTGTGAAAAGATGACTACCTATATTAAGAACAAAATGGCAAAATATAAGCCCCGCCCACCCGCCCTATCTCAATTGTGATGAACTTTTTTATTCGTTGTGTGTCAAGAGGGAGGAGCTTAACTGCAAAATTCTTATTTCTCTACAAGAAATTGCCGTGTAAGATATGTTTTTGAGTATCATGTTGTTCAAACAATACTATGTATATTAAGTATAAATTAAAGCCAGGTTGAAATGAAGGCGAATGGGTGGGGCTTATGTTTTCGCTTTCTTTGGTACTTAATACATGCTTCACATAGCAATTTCTTGTCGAAAAATAAGGATTTTGCAAATAAGCTCCACCCCACGGCGTACGACGAATTAAAAAAATCATCACGATAAAATAGGGCGGGTGGGCGGGGCTTCTGCCTCTTTTTCCTAATATACTTAGTAATCTTTTCACAACAAGAAATTTAAAACACATTTGAAATCGTAAATTTTTGTAGGAGAATACGGATTTTGCAATTGCGCTTCGCCCCACGGCTAACGACGAATTAAAAAAAAACATCACAATTGCGATAGGGCGGGTGGGCGGGGCTTATAATTTGCCTTTTTTTTCTTAGTATACGTAGTCGTCTTTGGCTTTCTTTTGTACTTAATACATATAGTTTGCTTTAAACAAGACACTCAAGAGTATGTTTCAGCAAGCAGTTTCGTGTAAAAAAATAAGGCTTTTGCAATTAAACTCCCTATTGGGTTAATCTTCTGCTTGTGGGGACGAAACAGGTCAAGCAAACGACTGAATTACAGTAATAAATTACTCGCAATAGAATTACTTCCACCACTGACTCTTATATTCCCTCCAGGTAACATCCGTCTGGCGCTCGACCTAACCAACAAACTCCTCGAAATCTTGCCAACCCACACTAGAGCCCTAGGTAACAAAGTCTACTACGAAGACGAGCTGCAGAAAATCGTCGAGGAGAAACGAAAAGGTGACGACGGCTCCGAAGCCATCCAGAACGACGAAATCAAACCCAACGACGGTGTCCACGGGCGCGAATTCTACGAGCAGATGTGTCGGGGCGAAATCACCCTCTCGGACGCCAAGTTGTCAAAACTCAAGTGTCGCTACTTAAATAAGAATCATCCTTTCCTGTTAATCGCGCCGTTTAAAGTGGAAGAAGCCCACCATAAACCGGATATCTTTATCTTCCATGATGTGTTGGCGGATAGCGAAATAGCGACGATAAGGCGGATGGCGCAACCTAGAGTAAGTTTACTGGTTATAGAAACCGTTTTTGCGTTTATGTTGGTATTACGGAGGTGTGATAAATTTAGGTTATGTTTTGGACCATCTGGAAAATTCCCGATTTCCAGCCGGTCCAATGCTTTTACCTAATTTTAGCAGCGAAAGGTCAGAATCCCGATTCGTATGACACTTAAAATCAAGGCAACGCAAATTTAGCAACAGGAAAATGACTAGAATCTGTTTAGAAAGTGTATTATGTAAACCCATTCAAGTGAAGCATTGTTAACAGTTCAGAAGAGCTACTGTGCAAAACACCGACACGGGCGAGCTCGAAATCGCCCAATACCGAATCAGCAAGTCAGCTTGGTTGAAAGAAGAGGAACACAAACACATCGCTGACGTTTCCCAGAGGGTGAGCGATATTACAGGCTTGACGATGGCGACCGCTGAAGAACTGCAAGTGGTTAACTATGGAATTGGGGGCCACTACGAGCCCCATTTCGACTTCGCTAGGGTAATCCACTGATTTTAACTTGTCACCACCTAGTAACTTTTTTATTGTATTACAGAAGGACGAACTGAACGCCTTCAAGAGTCTAGGGACGGGCAACCGCATCGCTACAGTGCTCTTCTATGTATGTTCATCATGATTAACAAGTTAGATCTGAGTAAAGTTTTCTAGATGACTGATGTTGAACAAGGTGGCGCCACCGTCTTCCCTAGCATAAGTGTGACTTTGTGGCCGAAGAAAGGGGCTGCTGCGTTTTGGCACAACTTACACCCGAGTGGTGACGGGGATAAAATGACCAGACATGCGGCTTGTCCAGTTCTGACTGGCTCCAAATGGGGTAACTTTCCATTTTGGTTGTTTTTGCTTTGTTAAGTTGGCGGTTTTAGTGTCGAATAAGTGGATCCACGAGCGTGGACAGGAGTTTTTGAGGCCATGTACTTTAGACAGACCGAACGAGGATTTCGTGGCGTGAATGAGACTGTTAAACCCAGTGACGTAATGAATTTACCGTTATTTATTGTGAATACTTGATGTTAAGATTTGTAATAAATGAAATTTCGTACTTGATAATATGGTAATCACGTTTATTTAATCTGGCTACAGACGAAATTAATACCATCTAGACGCAATAAAATCCCCTAGGAGTACTGAACATGCACTATATTATTTTGATTAATTGTGTATGTAAATAAGGGTTTTCTTCTTATATTTCATTATTCTTCTCGGCGGCCTTCTTGTTCGCTAACTTCATGTACAAGTTGGGGCCGCCTTCAGACGCCCGTCTGTACGCAGTCGGAGTCACCCCAGCTGTCAAACTCGAAGGCCCTGAAGATCCTCCCGAAGCTAAGATTTTATCTTGGGTTTTTAAATTAGTCCACTGCGTTGACTGAAAAAGTGCAGCTCTTTAGCTTCTAGCAGTAGAGTGGCCCGCCATTTTGTTTAATAGCACAAAATGGCGGACAATTCGTTGTGCGCATGCCCAGGATCTGGAAAGGTGCTACCAACTGACCAAATGTTACTACAACGTATAACCATAATTTATTGATTTCCATATAACATTTATAAATACTTATAGTCATATGATTCGATAATAACATTAATTAAAATATGATTTATCGTAAACACTTATCAAAAAATAGTGTAGAGGGTGGATTTGTGCATGTACCCTGATAGGAACGGGTGTATCTGCAAGCAACTAAACCACAAAGAAAACAAAGCATGCGTCGACAAGCCGCGTCCACATACGGACGCACCTTCACACAATCACCCACCTACTTCACGAAACTAATATCACATTAAAAGTAGCAGCAGATTTGATTGGTCCGATTGATCCCATCAACAACAAAACAAACTGATATGTCGACAACAAGGGGGGAAATCCAGAAAACACCAAACAGTCGATCGAGACAGTCCTCGACCTTGAACATCCATATACTTAGGTCTAACTAGAGGATGGTCACGTGGTACATATACGACTAGACATCTTAGATTTCGTAGTTGCGGAATTTACTGACAACCTCGCTTGGCGCTTCGGTGCCCCAGGCCGAGCCGGTGCCGCCGCGCCCGGTCCAGTGCAGGTTGGCGCCGCCCTCGGAGGCCCGTCGCTGCGCCGCCGACACGCCGCCCGCCCCCAGGCTGGACGGGCCGGACGAGCCGCCGCTCTCCAGCATGCGGTCTTTGGTCTTGGGCGTGCTCCAGTGCATGGACTGAAAAAGAATAGAATGAGTAAAAGCCGAGTTTAATGTCAAGTTTGTTTATTTTGTACATTCAGCAACAGTTTCACAGTTGACGCGTGTATGTTAAATGATAATTAATTCGCTGTCTGGCTGGCGGCGGAGTGTTTAAATTAATTCGGTGTCGGCCTAAATTGATATGTAAATGCCAGAGTTAGCGTAATGGGAAAACGAGTTAGTTTTTTTGGTTAATTGCAAAACAGATGACTAAATGTGTTTTTTGTTGCTACAGAGTGTTTAAAAAATGAAAGAGGTGTCCAATTAAGTAGTTAATTTACGTGGCAGTGGAATATAAATTAAGGTTGTTGCTACACCGAACTCAGTTTTTGAGAATTTTGAAAGAAAACAGGGCAAACTATGTTAGTTTAGTGTTATTTTTTGTAACAACAACAATTAAAGTAGTTACTTATTAGTTATTATATTGAAGTTTGCTAAAATTTTGCACGGTCTATTGTTAAATTTTGATTCTAAACAAATAATAATAGTTTTTAGATAAAATAACTTCATAATACGTTACCCTTCACCTATTGCTTAATACTGTGATAACGAATATTTTTAATTTTTATTAAAAAAAACAAATTTATATCATAGAATAACAGTTATCTGTTATCTTTACAAAGTTGCGATTGACAATGTTCCATTGTATTCATTTTCGTTTCAAAATATGTAACCAGTATTACTTCGACCGGTGATAAAAAGGATCCGAGACAGATAATTGCAAACAAATTTTCGAAGTAAACTCTTCTCTGTATCTATTTCAAATCTTTTAAATTGGAAAAAGAAAAAAATAATAATACTGAAAGCATTTTTTTTTTTCAAAAAACATAAGGGGTCCCAAATTTGTTTTAAAATTCTTTCAAAAATAAAAATATAAGGAGCCCCAACGATTTTTTTCACATTCTTTAAAATAAAGAAACTTTTAAACTTTTTAAAAACAAAATACATACATAACGGACCCTCAAGATTCTTTCATCTTCTTTAAAATAAAAGAAACTTGGGGTACTAAGGGACCCAAGATCCTTTCAAGTACAAAACACATATACATAGGGGAAACTGGGATCCGAACATTCTTCCAAACTGTTTCAAAAACATAATACTAACACCCCCCAAAGATCTTTTCAAATTCTTTCAAAAACTAAACACAAGGATTCCCGAAGATTCTTTCACTTTCTTAAAGAAAGACACTAGAGGCCCACAAGATTTCTACATTTTCTTTCAAAAATGGAATAAGAGGAGCCCCAACAACTCTTTCGCAATCTTTAAAATAAAAACACTAGGAAACCTAAGATTCTTTCAAACTGTTTAAAAAAAAAATACAAGTGTCTAGAGAAACTGTTTCAATTCTTTCAAAAATAAAACATCAGGGACCCTCAAGATTTTTTCATATTCCTAAAAATAAAGGAAACTATAGAGATCTCAAGATTTCTTCATATAAAAAATACTAGGGAACACAATATTCTTTCAAACAATTTCAAAAAACCAAACAACAGAAGCCCTCAAATTCTTTGAAGTGTGAAACACAAAAAGTCCCGAAGATTCTCTAACATTCTCAAAAAAAAGACACTAGGGGCCCTCAAGATTTCTCAAAATTCTTTCAAAAATAATACAACATAGACGTCTAAGAAAAATTCTTTCGGTTTTTTTTTTAATAGAGGAAACAGGGATCCGAACACTCTTCCAAACTGTTTCAAAAACATAATACTAAAAGCCCCGAAAGATCTTTTCAAATTCTTTCAAAAAATAAACACAAGGATTCCCGAAGATTCTTTCACTTTCTTCAAGAAAGACACTAGAGGCCCGCAAGTTTTCTACATTTTCTTTCAAAAATGGAATAAGAGGAGCCCCAACAACTCTTTCGCAATCTTTAAAATAAAGACACTAGGAAACCTAAGATTCTTTCAAACTGTTTCAAAAACAAAATACAAGTGTCGATAGGAACTATTCCAATTCTTTCAAAAATAAAACATCAGGGACCCTTAAGATTTTTTCATATTCCCAAAAATAAAGGAAACTATAGGGATCTCAAGATTTCTTCGTATAAAAATACTAGGGAACACAATATTCTTTCAAACAATTTCAAAAAACCAAACAACAGAAGCCCTCAAATTCTTTGAAATACAAAACACAAAAAGTCCCGAAGATTCTCTAACATTCTCAAAAAAAAGACACTAGGGGCGCTCAAGATTTCTCCAAATTCTTTCAAAAATAATACAACATTGACCTCTAAGAAAAATTCTTTCAGTTTTTTTTTAAATAGAGGAAACTGGGGATCCGAACATTCTTCCAAACTATTTCAAACACATAATACGAAATCCCCCAAAGATCTTTTCAAATTCTTTCAAAAACTAAACACAAGGATTTCCGAAGATTCTTTCACTTTCTTCAAGAAATACACTAGAGGCCCACAAGATTTCTACATTTTCTTCCAAAAATGGAATAAGAGGAGCCCCAACAACTCTTTCGCAATCTTTAAAATAAAGACACTAGGAAACCTAAGATTCTTTCAAACTGTTTCAAAAACAAAATACGTGTCGATAGGAACTATTCCAATTCTTTCAAAAATAAAACATCAAGGACCCTCAAGATTTTTCCATATTCCTAAAAATAAAGGAAACTATAGGGATCTCAAGATTTCTTCGTATAAAAAATTGTAAAGAACACAATATTCTTTCAAACAATTTCAAAAAACCAAACAACAGAAGCCCTCAAATTCTTTGAAATACAAAACACAAAAAGTCCCGAAGATTCTCTGACATTCTCAAAAAAAAAGACACTAGAGACCCACAAGATTTCTAAATTTTTTTTCAAAAATGGAATAGGAGGAGCCCCAACAACTCTTTCGCACTCTTTAAAATAAAGACACTAGGAACCCTAAGATTCTTTCAAATTGTTTCATAAAAAAAATACAAGTGTCTATAGGAACTATTCCAAATTCTTTCAAAAATAAAACATCAGGAACCCTCAAAATTTTTTCATATTCCTAAAAATAAAGGAAACGATAGGGATCTCAAGATTTCTTCGTATAAAAAATACTAGGGAACACAATATTCTCTCAAACACTTTCAAAAAACCAAACAACAGAAGCCCTCAAATTCCTTGAAATACAAAACACAAAAAGTCCCGAAGATTCTCTAACATTCTCAAAAAAAAAAGACGCTAGGGGCCCTCAAGGTTTCTCCAAATTCTTTCAAAAATAATACAACATAAACCTCTAATAAAAATTCTTTCAGTTTTTTTTTTAATAGAGGAAACTGGGGATCCGAACATTCTTCCAAACTGTTTCAAAAACATAATACTAAAAGCCCCAAAGATCTCTTCAAATTCTTTCAAAAACTAAACACAAGGATTCCCGAAGATTCTTTCACTTTCTTAAAGAAAGACACTAGAGGCCCACAAGATTTCTACATTTTCTTTCAAAAATGGAATAAGAGGAGTCCCAACAACTCTTTCGCAATCTTTAAAATAAGGACACTAGAGGCCCAATTCTGAATCAAACCTGTTAAAATTTAAAGGTTGTTAAAAAATAAACATCCAATCAGATTTACGAATTTAACTCGTTACTATGGAAATTTGCAATTTAACACCCTTTAAATTTAACAACTTTGATTCAGAATTGCCCCTTAGGAAACCTAAGATTCTTTCGAACTCTTTCAAAAATAAATTACAAGTGTCTAGAGAAACTATTCCAATTCTTTCAAAAATAAAACATCAGGGACCCTCAAAATTTTTTCATATTCCTAAAAATAAAGGAAACTATAGGAATCTCAAGAGTTCTTCGTATAAAAAATACTAGGGAACCCAATATTCTTTCAAACTCTTTCAAAAAACCAAACAACAAAAAATCAAAATCTTTTCAAATTCTTTCAAATACAAAACACAAGAAGTCCCGAGAATTATTTCACATTCTCAAAAAAATATATATACTAAGACCCTCAAGATTTCCGCAAATTCTTTCAAACTCTTTCAAAAATAATACAACATAGACCTCTAAGAAAAATTCTTTCAGATTTTTTTAAAACTAAAGCAAACTAAGGATCCGAAGACTTCTTCATATTAAAAATAATATTACTAGGGGAATCAACATTTGTCCAAACTATTTCAAAAAATATAATACTAGGAGTCCCAAACATCTTTTCAAATTCATTCAAAAACAAAGGACTCTCGAATATTATTTCACTTTCTTAAAGAAAGACACTAGAGGCCCACAAGATTTCTTCATTTTCTTTCAAAAATAAAATAAGAGGAGCCTAGAAACAACTCTTTCAAATTCTTAAAAATGAAGGAAACCAGGTGTCTCAGGATTTCTTCACTAATATTCTTTCAAACTGTTTCAAAAATAATACAACAGCGATCTCGAAGACTCTTTCATATTTTTTTAAAAGCAATGAAACTTGGGATCCGAAGTTTTCTTTATAGTAAAATTAATATTACTAGTGGACCCAACATTCTTTCAAACTCTTTCAAAATACAAAACACCAGAAGCCCCCAAGATCTTTTCAAATACTTTGAAAAACAAAACACCAGATTCCCGAAGATTCTTTCACACTCTTAAAAATGGGAGACACCAGGGGCCTCCTAGATTTCTTCACTTTCTTTCAAAAATAAAATAGAAGAACCTAAACACCTCTTTCATATTTTTTAAAATAGAAACGTTAGGAAACCTAAGATTCTTTCAAACTCTTTCAAAATCAAAATGCCAGGGTCTCGAGGAATTTTTCAAATTCTTTCAAAATTAAAACACAAGGATTCCCGAAGATGTTTCCACATTCTCAACAACAAGAAACTTGGGGCCCTCAAGATTTTTTTAATTCTTTCAAAAATAACACACAAGGAGTTACTAAGATTCTTCGTATTCTCATAAAAAGACTAGAAGCCTCCAAGATTCTTTCAAACTCTTTCAAAAATAATACACGAGGACCTCAGATTCTTTCATATTTTTAAAATTAAAGAAAACTTGGAGTGCCAAAATTTCT